AGGCCCCCCCAGGGCCCGGGGGGGGGTTCCCTGCCTGCCCCCGGCCCCCGCTCCTGAGGATGCCGGCAGCCGGGACGCAGGCAGGCAGAGATCCCGCGCGGTACGGGCAGGCAGCGCGCACCCACGCCTTCTCACACGCTCGCAGGCAATCCTGGCCACGCACGGCTCTACGGCCTGCAAAAGAGAGAGGTGACAAACCGGCACCAAGGTAACGGAGCAGAGCCTTTGAGCTCAGGCAGGAGAGACTGGCGCTCAGAAGTCTGCGCTCGCCCCCGCAGGGCCCCGCGCTACGATCCAGCCCCTGCCCCCTCCCACGCTCCGGGATCCAGAGATGAAACCCGGCTCATCGCCGGCTAAGCTAAGGCTCACACGGAAGCAGGGGAGTGCATGAAAAGGGCATCGCTGTACAGCATGCTGTCAGAAGAGATGTACCAAGTAAAGCCCAGGAATTCAGCTGGATTTACTGGAGCTGTGCTGGTAACCGCAGGGGTGGGGGCTGGCAGAGCCCCGAGCAGCCACCGCAGCACGCTAGCTGTTAGCTGTATCCATCACCAGTTACCAGCTCGCTGGTGGCACGGCCACGCCAGCGGCTCCCGAAATGCGGAGAAGGCGGCAGGGATAAGGCAATGATGGTGCTGGCCGTGCGTGCCCGCCCTTACGGGGCGAGGGCAGGGGTCCCCACGGCGTGGGGTGGCACGGCTACCGGGCTGCGGCCAAGGGGCATCAACAGGTCACCACCTTCTGCCCAACGTACTGTGAAACCAGAGGGGTATTTTGGCGAGGTACTGATCCACATCCACATGGCGTCTCACCCCAGAAAGGAGCGGCCGCCGCCACCCCCTCCATCCGATATTTCTGGTTTAATCAAATAAAACGCTGCAGCAGAGGAACGCTGGGCTCCATAAACAGCCTGTCAGGACCAGCCTGGCTACACCAAGAGGCAGGGGAAGAGCAGAGCAGTGACCCCCGACGATCGCGGGCGAGACTGGCTGATGGGCCGCCATCCCGGAGAAGCGGGGGCACCGCCAGCACCCTGCGGGAGCAAGTTACAGCTCAATTAGAGCCATGAATATCAGCGGGGAAACAGAATTTCTTCCTTCGTAGCCCAGTGTAGGAGACTCAGAGAAGCATCAATAAATCATTACTTCCCCTCTCCTTGCTAATAACACGAGCAAACAAAGGGGCTCCCCAGAGCCTGCTGCCAATTTCCCCCTGCCCCCGTCCGCAGCAGGGACAGAGCCAGACCTCAGCGCTGCCCCGGGGTGCTCTGCACGGCCCCCCCGCCAAGGCAGGCGGGGAAGGATGCCTTTCCCAGGGCCAAAGCCAGATTTTAAGCAGCATCCTTCCAGGATGTCTCGCGGGTACCTAAGCGCAGCCAACACGGAGCACGGCCGTGCGCAGGCAGGGATGCATTCGCCCCCGCAGCTCACATTGCTCCCACCTTCACCGCCCCGAGGGCAGTCTCCCCAAAGAGAGCACACGTGCACGGGACGTGTCGCACACCCCTGCCTCCCCACCTACGGCCTGACCAGAGGCCCGAGTGCCTCGGAAAACACTGTCGGTGTGCCGGCTGCGCAGGCAGCACGACCCCCTCTCCTGCTCTCCCCGGGGCTATCGAAAATGTCACCCCCTCCCTCCTCATTTTGAGTCCTTCCACACGTACCACCGGCGTTGTTGAAACGCACTCACACAGAAGAACTTGCTCAACAGTCTAGAATAATCATACCTTTCAGAAAAGCATTTTCTAGACAAACAGGCTGACAGCTGCATCAGCACAGACAGGCTGAGCCACCCTGCGTCGTGTGCGAGACTCCCACATTTATGAAAGCGGCCCATTAACGTATGGCAGGCTTTTCTTTGCCTCCGCAGGGGGCTGATCCAAGAAAACACGGCCTTTATTTCCTCCTGCCTCCCCAGTTTTTCGCGATCAAAGGCGTTTGCTCTTCTGCATGTGCAGGAATCGGTGCCCTCATTCCAGCGGCCACTTTTGCAGCCACAGGGGTGCCCAGGCTGCTGATTTTCACCCTCATGGCATTGCTCTGGCTCTCACGACACAACAAAAGACAGACAAAGTTTTGTCTCCAGTGACAGCTCAGCTTTCACGCAGCTGCACTGACACGGACCACTGCTGAAATTAGGA